TTTCATGCTGTATATACCTACATATATAAGTATTCTGCCCAGATTGTAAATTAATTCAATGTAAATACACAAATTGAAAAATACATCATCATCTTTATTCATGAAACTCATTACATACAAAAATTTTCCCCAAATTAACTTACAAAACTACATGATTACTTAATCGAGGTTACCTCAATCCCTTAGAAGGGGATTTAACTCATTCTAGTGGTGGTAGAAGCTCCAATGGTCGAAGAGGAAGACTCCACCTTCAGCTCCATGGCATCCCAAGCCAAGAACACTCAAGAACCCTAGTTATTCCTCACTTTCTCTCCCTAGAACTTCAAAATTCAAATTCTAAAATTGATATATAATATGTGAAACAACTCTATACAAGTTTGTATAACCCCCTCTGGCAAAAATCAGTTCAAAAACCAATAAAATCGTGCATTCATGATGGGAAAAGAGAGAAAAGTAACTGAAATTTCAAATTATTTCAAAGTTTCGCAGATTTGCATCTGGATGCTAGGAAGGGCATCTGGACGCATGGCTAAGTGTTTAGATGCATTTTTAGCTGGCTACTGGATTTTCATTTTTCTTAACAACTTCAATTGTTGGTCACGGTTTATTAAGGGCGTCTAGACGCCTGAAATACACTTAGAGAGTGTGTCCGAACGCATGGCTGAGACCTACATATTTAACTTCTCTTTCTTGCTTAGCTTCCTGGGCTTGACTTCATTCTCAGGCTGAGTACGACCTTAGACTTTAAGTCCATTTTGCCGGGTTCCATAGCTCACCAAGTACCTTGCTCATTAAAAGCCCTTAAAATTTTGTTTTTACACCTTTTTGGTGAAAAATCCGGAAAATAATAAATAAACATAAAAGTATATAAACACACTTTATTAACATGCTAAATAGACTAAACAATGCAATTAAGGACGTTTGAATATGCAATATTCGGCGCTTATCACACCCTTAAACTTACAATTTGCTAGTCCCTATAAAAAACAATAACAAGACAACCCCTCTTTCATGGGAGTGACGATTGCATTTAGCATTTGCAATAAGTATTTCAAACCCCTAGGTATTCTTAAAGGACGAGTAAAGTCTCGTGAATGTTTACCTGAAATGATACCCACAAACATTAAGCAAAAAGGCTCATTCTTGTAAAGTTGAAATATATGACTTTGGGGAAGGATACTATCATGAAGACTACAACAACTATGCATACAATGATATCTCAAAACATTATATAATTTCCAGCATTCATGCATCAACAAAATGGTCCACATACAAAACCTTTGGCATCTCATTTATAATAGAATTCATCTCAAGTTCCTTGGAAGTGAATCGGAATAATTATTCTATTTTAGATTGCATTTTAACCCTTTTATGACTCATATAATAGCTTCCACATTCTCAACTTGTCTTTTGGAATAATAATCCAAGGCATGAATTTTATTTAAACATATTATTATTATTATTATTATTATTATTATTATTATTATTATTATTATTATGTTATATATATATATGGCCGTTCAATTTCCAAGTCCCTTAAGCTCTCTAATCACACCATGTAATGAACGTTGAGCTAACGACTCCCAAACCAAATGGTCTTAGGGCGTTAAGTGTAAAGACACTCTAAATGGCGTAATAACTCGGGATGGTTAGGTTACGAACTCAAACAAGCTATACATTTTACATTCTCCATTTGTCTTCTGACTTTTTATATATATATATATATATATAGCTGACAAAGTGAAGGATTTCCTTTCATTTTTTTTTTCAATACCAAGGACAATTTCTTTCATTCGACTTATTAATTCAGGGAGCTAATTTTTATAAAACCATAAGGAAGGAGATGCAATTTCTGATATGCTCAATATGCAATGCAAAGTCACTTAGAGATTAAAGAATCATAAATAACATATTTAAATCATGCAATGGACCTTTTTCATTTAAACATTCATGCTAGCAACTTTTAATCATTCCTTGATATCATATATAAGCATACAAATTGTATTAGTCACATAAATCCCCCTTCCCCCCAAACTTAGTTCCAACAAACCAGAAATCATTTGCCTAAACACACAAAAAAAAAAAAAAAAAAAAAATTCAGAATTTTTATTTTTTATTTTTATATATACCACAACTTAGCAATGACACTATACAACATTATGCATATAACTGGTTGCATCCCAACACCCTCAAACTTAAACGACACATTGTACTCAATGTATGAAGACAAGCATAAAAGCTAAGCATATAGAAAAGGGTTTAGAAAAACACTACCGAGTGCTAAAATATGCAAGCCATGCATTCAATCCCATCATGGGTTTATATTGGAAGTTTGAGGTTATGCTTCCACCCTGAGCTCATCACATTGAGATTATGTCAGAGTCGGATCTTTAGGCTTTGAACAAGTCTAAATCCGCCAGGGCTAATGCTAGGAAATCTAACAGGGATTCAGCTGCTTCTTATTCTCAACTTCCAGAGATCTCTTAGATTTTTCCGTCTAAATGGAATTTCCCAACAGATGACACCAATCTGTTCTACTCACTATTTCTTCAGAATCAGAAGGCCTTGCTTGACGCTATTTCTGATTTACAGGCCGAGGTTAAATTTCTTCAAGAGCAGAGGACTGGTAGTACTTCAAAGGATGTCTACAAACTAGCCCCTCCAGAGCTATCACTAGATGCTGAGGTTGAGACAGATGATGATGGTGAGGATGATGAGGATGGTAGTGGTAGTGGTAGTGGTAGTGGTAGTGATGATGGCGATGATGAGGATATACCGACTAGTACTGTTGTTCCTTTTGAGGGTGACGATGCTTGATTATCTGTTCATATCATACATGCATCATACTTTTGTTCAGTTTCCACTTGTCATAACTTGTTATTTTTTAGAGAATATCTTTTGCTTAATGACATGTTATAAACTGTGGAACGTTTCTCTTCTAGTAATTTTTCTACTCTGATAACCTTTTAATTGCTTTGTCAATTTGTTCCAAAAAGAGGGAGAAAATGGTTCATTAAGGGGGATAAAATACTGAAAAATTAGATAATTTATTCATAGGGAGTTTTTAACTTTTTTTTATAACTTGTTTTATTAAACTTTCACAAGTAGTTTTGCTTGATCCATGTGCAGGAAATCAGGTGAAATTTTTGTCCAAGAGAAAAAGAGAACAGAGAAGAAAAATTCCATGTTTCCTTGAACAAAATTATAATTTCTTTTCTGCTTGGGTAGATTACAAAATTGGTTTTATGGTTTTGTCACGAAATTACCAAAGGGGGAGATTGCAAGATATAAATTTTGTAATTAGCAATATTCGAAGTCAAAACAAGTCTTAGTCGAGTTGTAATTTCAAGTTACCATATTAAGACCGACATCGACTGCGGAATTGGAAGGTTGTTCAGAAGAAAAAATACTAAGATCATTGAAAAAGAAAAGAACAACATTTTTAGGAAGTCGTTTCCTACTTAGGACACAATACCTACAAGGTATATATTCCAAGTTACCAAAAACAGAATTTCCAAGTTCTATTTAGATTCTGTCAAGTGGGAACCTATACCACCTTTGGGAACCAGTTCAAGAAACTTAGATTCGAATAAATCTATTATGTCCAATAGGAACCGATTCCACATATGGCTACCGGTACCACTGTTAAAACAGTTTAAGGTAACTTTAACCTGATTAGTTTTAAACTTCCTTGTTGGTTTAGAAAGTTACCAAAAGTCTTATGTACGAAATTTTCTTTATTTTTAGAAGAATTAGGTCTTTAAAAATTCTATAGAAACCCTGATATACATCTAGGTTTAGTATGCCGCTTTTGTCACTATAACTTTATTAGTTATAAAAGCCTTAGGAAGAATATTTTTGAAGAAAATCCAATAAATTTCTCTATCAATGTTGCTAGAACATGCACATAAACACAAGACTGAGTTTAGAGTGTTGTTTAAATCCTGATCATAATCAAAATCTTACATCTACAACAATCAGATAAAAGCAGATCTACTTCTGCATCGAATTTAGATATTGAATAGCAGAAGTAAAAGCGATCACACTTTGAAAGGTTCAAAGCATTCAAGGAGTGTTATTTGATCTATCTGCTACCCTTCTACAAACATCAAGCATAAGCCTGAGGTTAAGTTATTGTTGGACGGGACATCACAAAGCCAAAGGATTATCAACTATTGGTATTTAGTAGAACGATATGGTGTGAACCAGAGTCAAAGTTCAGTGTACTTTGTTTCAAACATAATGGATCGGTTTACTTTGGACTGTACAGTTTACGAGGTTTTTCCCGTGCAAACAGTTGATGTATTTTATCAACTGGGGTTTCTATGAAAAATACTGGTGTCATCTCTAACTCTTTACTTTGCTTTAGAGGAGTGTTGTTTGATCTACCTGCTATCCTTGCATGAGATTAATTTATTAATTGCTAAAATAAGTAAAGTTGGAAAGACATAGATAAGTTTCTAAAAATACAAAACTTTCTAAATATTCCGTTGTATATAACTCACAATATATAAGTTTTTCGCTGCGTACAACTCACAATATATATATAGACTTACAGAGACAGAGAGTTTATATATTTATATATATATATATATTTCTAGAGTTTTTATCCATTCAACACACCATATTGGAGTGAAAAAAGAGTTCATAAAAGTGGAAATTTAAATTTAACACAATTATATATTTTGTCATTTCAGCTCATTAAAAAAAAATGTCTTTTCAGAATTCAACACACTCAATTCGTCATTATTTGATTTGGAATAAATATATTTTTTAGAAATAATATATGTAATTGTACATAGACTTAAACAGAGAAAAAGAGTTTATATAAATATATAAGATTTTAGTTTTTACATAGATTCAACACATTTAATATAAGAAAGACAAATAATAATAATAATAATAATAATAATAATAATAATAATTAAATAATTTTTAAAATTTACTAATCATTTATAATATTATTTCTTTACTTTTCTGTAATTACCAACTAGGCCATATCAAGAGGAGGGCCAAAATTGGCGCGAAACTGTCCATTGGAAGAGAGAGAGAAGTTTCTTTGGATTTCCTACACGAGCCCGCTTTGTGAAGTTGTTGTAGTCATTGGCTTCAATTATATCCAAAGTTTGTCGATATAGCATCATTGATGCCCACACAGGCCATCTATTAGGTGAGTTAAACTCCTCAATTCCTTTCTCAGCCTCATCATAGAAACTTCTAGCTCGGATTATTTGTCCTCTCATGAAACTCCGCCACTTATCAGTAACTTCGCCCCTAAATATATCATCATCGGAAAGGCCAGCACGCGCAAGCTCGTCTTGTGGAAGGTATACTCTTCCTCTCCTAGCACTAGTAAAATCAAACGAATGATGTAACTTATCAAATATAGTAAAAAAATATATATAATTTTTAAAAAAAGGAGAAAACAGGCTGTAAAATTTCAAAGAAATTTCTAACCATCTTGCTAGGTTGATTCATTTGAAAATATAGTAAAGGAAAGTAGTGAATCAAAGAACTGATCATGTTAAGTAAACTTAAGGAAGTGTTCTATTACATTAGCATATACTTCAGCATTATAAGAATCTTACTCTTCTCCGACATCTCTAAGTATGTTAGTGAGCTGATTACCAATGGCAAGGGCTACTCCAGCTTTATATATGCTCTCTATTGAGGCGTTCGATTCTGGTGCGATCCCAAGAACTGGAATACTCATTAATGCCACTGTTCCGGCAACGTAGTAGCAATAAAGATAAAGCTCATCAAAGTTTTTGTATCTCGTCTTTGTCAAGTCGAACCTCATTCCTTCAATCATGTCCTTGAAGGGCTGTCCTAAGAGAACAAATATTTGTCATAGAAAAACGAGGCGAAGCATAGGAGAACATACTAATATACATGTATCAATATTCGTATATACACATACATATACATAAATTAGTTCATGTAGTTGAATGCAAAGGGCTAATACCTGTATATCAATAGGATATTTTGAGATCGTATCAGATAAAGCAACATCATATATATCACTTGGACAACCTTCAAAAACCTCAGTTAGCCTCTCCTCCCATCTATCGAGAGCTTTGGGTGTAACATATAAAGCGTAAGGTCCATCCACAATTTCGTCAGTCCTTCTGCACCACACTGCAGGATAGAGTACAGCGTTCACTTACTGAAATAGTCTTTCATAATTCCTAGTGATCGTGGTAAATATTGTGCTTTACATATAGAAAGTAAGGTAAATCCGGTATTGTCATACTGATACGAATGAAATGTCATTTTGAGAAGTTTTCAACTTGTTTATTTGTCAATTTACTGTAACTTCTTTATGCCTTTTTTTATGTTGTGGATGGTCTTTTTCTTTTCTTTTTTCTTTATTTTCTGGGTAAGCAAATGTTGTGGAAGACATTTCACTTTTTTTTCCTAGTTAGTACTCACACATGCTTGTCTCTTCCGAGATTTGAACCCCTGAACTCCCTTAAAAAAGTATAAGACATTTCATTTCATTTCGACATGATTACACATTTTTGTCAAATATCGATTATGCTATAAAAATATGGACAATGCTTAATTAGGTCCTCCCTTAGGAGGACAAAGTTAGTCCTCCATGGTGATGTGGTCCAACCAAAGACCCACAAGTGTTCTAAAATTTATATAGGATTACAAAAATTAAAAAAGATGGGTTAGATCCATTTTTTTACGAGTTAATTGGGTAAAATTGGAAAGGAATCCCTTGGCAGGAGATCTCCACTCTCAAAACCATCGCCTCTCTCCACCATCTGCCACCATCACCACCACCTCTCCACCTCCATCTCTCTCTCCATTCCCTTCTCCACACCCCCACCGTTGCTCCACATCCTCTCGCTATCTCTCTTCCCCCACCCTAATCGATGGTAGTTGGTAGTGGTGTTTTGGGTGTTGTAGAGATTTATGAGAAGCAAAGAGAAGTGATGGGTGAATGAAACACTCACATGATCTGAACAAATCAATCAATACTGATATGCCAACGAATTATTGAGTCTTAAAACCCTAGAAAGCCAATCTATATAAGAATTATATGTATAAATAAATATATATATATATATATATATATATATATAAAGAGAGAGAGAGAGAGAGATCAGGTGCCCTAAAAATGAATCAAAAAGACTCCAATTCAGGAAGCCCATGGCCTCTTCATCTCCTCTTCATCTTTCTTCATGTCTCCGTTAGGCTACTAGGTGTTAGAAGTAGAGAGAGATGTATTAAATACATAATACAAGAGTAGAGGGGGTATATATAGCTGAGAATAGGTGTGTGAGTGTTTTTTTTTTCATAATAATAAAATAAAAATAATAAAAATAAAAAATTGCCCAAGTAAACCTATACATGGAAACTATTGATAGGTAAGGCGGCTGCTGTATATGGGTAAAACCCTAACCCTAATATCATCTAGCATCCTCCCTAAAAATCAAGGTGTGTTATATGAAACTATCTTGAGTTTGGAAAGAAGATCTCGAAAACAGCCTAGCGGAAGCGATTTGGAAAAGACATCTATTATCTGATCATGAGAAGTAATGGACCGCAACTGTAGGATCTTCTGAAAAAGGTGATGATGAACAAAATGCATGGCAATCGATCTCAATGTGTTTGGTGTGCTCGTGAAAACATAATTGTGTGCAATTTGGATTGCAATTCTATTATCACAATAGATAGGAGTGGCGGAAGATGAAGAAACTCCCATGTCCTAAAGGAGCCAACGCAACCACAGAAACTCAGAAGTAGTATCAACAAGTGCCATGTACTCAGCTTCTATGCTAGATCGAGTAACCACAGTTTGTTTCTTACTGCGCCAAAAGATAAGTGAATCACTAAGAAAGAAACAATAGCATATGGTGAAATAACGATCTGTAGGATCTCCTGCCCAGTTAGCATCTGAATAGGCACAAAGAACAAGTGATGATTGAGAAGAAAAATAAAGCCCATGAAATATAGTGAGCTTTGAGATAGCGAAGGATGCGAAGAACTACAGCAAAATGAGTAGATCTCAAGGCAGCCATGAACTGACTAACTATGTAAACAGCATGAGAGATGTCTGGATGGGTAATAGTGAGATAAACCAGACTACCAACCAATTGTTGATATAATATACCATCCCGAAGAGATTCACCATCATATAGATAAAGTCGTGTGTTATGCTCAAGTGGTATATCAACAATCTTGCTGTCTGTTAACCCTGATTTCGAAAGAAGATCTGATATGTATTTTGTTTAAGCAAGTTAATAGCCATCTATAGCTGCAATGATTTCAAGACCAAGAAAATAACTGAGGAGCCCAATATCTTTCATCTCGAACTGACGACTTAGAAACTATTTGAGCTCCTAAATTCCCGACAAATCATCTCCAATAATGATCATGTCATTAACATAAAATAATAGAAGAATGATACCCTAATTAATGCATCGGATGAATAAAGATGAGTTATAATAGCTAGCAGAGTGTCCAAAACAAGAGATAGTTTGACTGAATTTGGCAAACCAAGCTCAAGGTTCCTGTTTGAGGCCATACAGAGCTCTTCGGAGTCGACACACCTTATTAGGATGATGATGATAACCTAGAAGAGACTGCATGTAAACTTTCTCAAGTAAATCTCCATTGAGAAAGGCATTCTTAACATCCATCTGAAAAATTCCCCAATAACAGGAAGCAGCCACAACAATAAAAGTGTAAACAGAGGGAAAATGTGCAAGAGGGGCAAATGTCTCATCAAAATCAATGCCATACTCTTGTGTGAATCATCTGGCTGCAAGTCGAGCTTTATAGCGTTCAACAGACCCATCTAAACGAGTCTTGATCTTGAACACCCATTTACATCCTACTACAAACTTTCGAGGAGAAAAATCAACTAGATTCCATGTCTGAGTTTTGGTTAGTGCATCTAACTCATCTTTCATTGCTTGTTGCCACAAAGGGTTAGAAAATGCCTCACGAAAAGTGTGATGTTCATGCAAAGTTGCAAGGGCATGGTAGCAATGGAAATCATTAAGATATGCAGGTGGAGCTCTTACTCGAGTGGAATGGGGGCGAATATTTAAAGTAGTTGTGCTAACAGGAGCCTCGGATTAGGCAGATGGTTAGGACTCAATCGAAGGAGGATTGACTGCCTCTGATGATTCAGAAGCAGGAAAAATATATGCATAGTATGTTAATGGAGGAATAGAAAATGCATTTTCAGAGACATTAAATTTTAACAATGTATGGAACATCTTGTGTTCCCAGAAAACTACATGACGAGAGACTTTGAGTCATTTAGTGATTAGATCATAACACCGATACCCTTTCTGTCCAATTTCATACCCAAGAAAGTAACAAATTAAGTCGAGCACGTGGTTGTAATTTTGTACGTTCATGGGGTTGGAGAAGAACAAAGCAGGCACACCGAAAAACTCTAAGATGATTATAGTCAGGTAGCTAGTTTGCCAAATATATACTCACATGGTGTTTTGGTTGTGCAAGAGAAGTGATGGCACACGATTAATAGTGTATACAGCAGTGAGAGTTGTTTTCCCCCAAAAAGAGGCAGGAGTAGAAGCAGAAAGTGTGAGTGAGCGAACTGTGTCTAGAATATATTGAAGTTTGCGCTTAGCTCGACCATTCTGCTGTGATGTGCTGGGATAGGATAAATGAAAAACAGTGCCATAATGTTTGAATATTTAAAAAAATGCATTTTGTTGGTATTCCATGGCATTATCAGAATATTTTTGGAAAATTAAGTTAAAATCATTTTGCGTAAAATCACGATATATGTCAAGTAACTTAGAATGGTTTTTCATAAAAAAATATCCATGTGAACCATGAAAAATCATTAACAGAAATGAAATATCAACAAAATGCATTTTTTTAAATACTCAAACATTTTAACTTAATGTGATCCCCCTATGGTAGACATTGAAAGTCCCCAAATATCAGAATGAATAAGATTAAAAGGAGCAGAAGCACATGATTCACTTGTACTAAAAGGTAATGAAGGTTGTTCACCTAGTTAACATGAAATACAATCAAAATTCTCAGTTTTAACCTAACAAGCCTTTAAAGACTAAAATTTTGACACAAGGCAAGGAAGCATGACCTAAGCGAGATTGCCATATAATTCAAGTAAATTAACCTATAAAGATGCAGCGGAGATGATAAGAGTATGAAGATAAAGAGATGAGAGTTCAAACAATCGACCAACCTTACGCCTGGTCCCAATAATCACTCCAGTCCGAGGATCATGTACAACACAACCATTAGAAAAAAAATGTTATGTTAAAGCCTAACTCAGTTAATTGACCAACTGATAAGACGTTAAGAAAAAGTTTTGGTACAAGAAACATATTAGGAATGTATAATTGGGAGTGAGAAATAGTCCATGTATGACTAATGCTCATGATGGATCCATCGGTTGTATGAATGACAGGTGAGTGAGGTGCAGGAGTTTGAGTGGTAAGAATAGTGGAATCGGATGTTATGTGATTACATCAAGCAGAATCAAAATACTAACATGTATTCTTACCTGATGTGGTAGAAAAAAAAGAGGAATATGCACCTTGTATTCTAGTCAAAACCTAATTGATAATTACCTCAACGTCAGTTGCAGAGAATGTAGATGAGAAAGATAAAGACTTGCTAGGAGTGTACGTTAGACGCTAGTACTGGAGCTGGAGCTTGTGACTGTAATGGCACAGTGTGAGAGGTATCTATAATCAGAGTATATGAAGTTAATCTAGCACGAGTGCGACACTCCTGAAGAGAATACCCTTGAATCCGACAAAAAGTGCAGTAAAGAAAGTGATCATAGTGACTGTGTTGTCCATTGTGACGAGACGATGTCAACTGAAAAGCCACTGTATGGGCAACAGAGGATGGCGTAACAAAACTTGTGGGAGTCTGCAAGCATGTCATCCTTTGGTAAAGCTCTTTTAGAACAGCTTGATAAGAGGAATCATCCCATTCTGTGCCATTTAGAAATCTCAAATGCAAAAATGGACTGCAAATTTTGAATCAGCGCGAAAAACTGTGCTGGATAGGTATCTTCGAAAAAAAAAATTATGGCATTGCTGACATGGTCGTTGACGTGGCCTGATGATGTGGGAGGAAAGAAGACTAGGGCTGATATGGCAGCTGACCTGCCAAATGATGTGGCTATCTCCTATTGATGTGGCAGATGATGTAGACTACTGACATGGCAAACTGGGTCCCAATGTTGACATGGTAGCTAACTAGGATGTTGATGTGGCTGAAAGTGGAGCCTAGATGATGCCATGTTAGATTACGTGGCACTGACGTTCTTAGATGACGTGGCACAAAGTTGGCGCTGATGTGGCTAGTACTGATGCTGGGATCTGACATGCGTGGTGTGTGATGCGTGGGAGCACTAAGAAAGGGAGTTTATGTGCATAACAGTGCGTGTGCATGTTGAGCGGAGTGGATCTAACGCGTGTGGCGCGTGGTGGTGCGTGGATGCGCGTTAGAGTGCATGCAGGTGCGTGGTAGTGCATGTCGAAACGGAAGAAGCAGCAGGCCCTTGTGGCGGCGCGAGTAGGCGCGTGCGAGGTCGTTTCTGGCTATTTTTGGTGGCATCGAGATGATCTGAGTATGTAATTTCACCTAGTATGATCAGAACTGAGAAAAGACTTATGAAAGACCTATTTTGAACACCAAATAGAATGTGTTCTTGATAAAGTATTGAAACGGTACCATGAACTTAAGAAAAATAAAAGAGTATGAAAAATCCTTACTCTAATGCCATGTTAGAAGTATAGAGAGAGATAAATACATTGTGTTATATTGATATGAGATACATAATAGAAGAGTATAAGGGGTATATATAGCTAAGGGTAGGTTTGTGAGTGTTACCCAAGTAAACCTATACATAGAAACTATGGGTAGGTAAGGCGGCTGTTGTACATTGGTAAACTCTAACCCCTAATATCATCTAAAACTAGGAGAATGAAAGAAAATTAAATAAATTAAAATATTGATTCTTAATCAGGTACTTTTGGGCCATGAAGAAAAAAGTTGTGAAAGTTTCTCTGTTGTCAATTTTTTTGCCAATTTATTATGTTGTTTGTTTGTTTGTTTTTTTGGTTAAAAGGTAAGCTTGTATTTAAGAAAAAGAATGTACAGAGGGTTTCCATTAGGGAAAACAACAAAAGAAGGAACATGAGCAGATAGTAAATCTGCAGGAACAAGAAGCTATAAATTTGTAGCACTAAAGCAAACTACACCTAGCTAGCTAGGAGAACTAGAGTATTATCCAGGAATGTCCTCCAGTATTGGAGCAACCTTTTGTGTATAGGTTTTGAAGATCCAAGTAACTTGTGACTTGGCAGAGATGAGCTCCTTTTCTCAATGTGATTGATGCTAGCCTTGCCCTATTAATGCATAACTTAACTTGAGTGATTATGTATAAGCTGATTTGTTACTGAAAGCTCTAGCATTTCTCTCCATCCATAAAAAGTAGATTGTTGCAGATAGTAAAAGTTTGTGGAATGTGAATGTAGGTGAAATCCATTGAGCTGTTCACCAGGCTAAAAGTTCTGACCATGAATTGGTATGAGTAGAGAAACTTGCAACCTCTTGTATGAACCTCCATATAGAAGCACTGAAGGGACACTTGAACAAAAGATGATCTATAGTTTCATAGTCTGAATTACAAAGATAACAAGCATTTGTGTAATGCCTGTGTAGCATTGGCTTTGAGTCAAGAGTATATTGCCTTCTTCTAGCAGCTAAGCATGCAATGGATCCATGTTTGGGGATATGGTGTTTGAACCAAATTAAATGATGCCATAGAAAAATGAATGATGGAGGTGTGAAGTAACTAATAGTATGAGCCAGTGAGAACTTCATATTAGGACTAGGCAACCATTCAATAGTATCTTGTGCATCAGATGGAGGAGGTAAGTTCTGCAATTGAGAGATGAAATCTTGGGATTGGAAGAATAATGGGAACTGAATTGCTTAAGGAATTTCCCATTGAGAGTTAGAAATTAGGCTATCAACCTGGACATATGTGTTCAAATGAAGAATTTCCACCTCCGTGAGTCCAAGTTGAGAAACAATACTAACAAGACTAACTTTGTCCTCCTAGAGAAGGACCCAAGCATTGTCCCAAAGATTTTATCCCATGAATGAAATTTATAATGTGGTACGTACTCTTCGACTGTCTTTTGTGCTGTCGTGCTAAAGTCACAATCGAACTCAATGGATAACAAACCTTACCATAAAACGGATGAGATCAGTAAAAGAAGACGCAACCAGTGTGAGAATTAGGCAATTAATATAGTAAGGATACAATTAAAAGGAAAACAAACTTATCATTATCATGTGGTATTGTTCAACTATTTTTGCTTCTAAAGACAACTACTGAATGCAATTATTTAAAAGGAACATGTTGGGTTTGTGTCTCAAATTCTTGACCAAGTTCAACACCGGTTGCACTTTGCCTCATAAGTTGCGGAATTTGCTTCCTCAATCAGAATATGTTCTTTCCTATGGGTTCAAGACTTATGGGGACTAAAGACTTGTAGAGTAAGTTGTGTGTGATCTATTTTAAAGTTATGATTGATTTGGTAACTTTTTATTAGACAAAGTATGGAAATCCTTATTCAATAAGTAATGGGTCGAAGACTATAAATAGAGGTAAAGTTGGCTGGAGAATGTATAGAGAAGGAAAAAATGGCTGAGTGAGTGAGTGAGAAGAGAAGAGAGTGGGTGAGTATAGAGGGACGTAGACTCTTAAGAATTGGGTTTGCTCTTACCAGAAATCAAGAGCGAATTTCAGGAAGTTGGTTGGTAGGTAGATAGACTTCTTATGGGATGTGTTGAGTGCATTCTTTACTAGTAATATCTCTTCCTGATTCATAATAGTGAAAGATCACACTCCATAGACTCCATAGACGTAGTCCTAAAGGTCGGGTGAACCGCATGTTGTGTGTTGATATCTACAAGTTTGTAAATGGGATGTTCTACCTTAAGCAAACAAGTTAGTTATGTAGAGATGGCACCTGCAAGAATGATCAATGGATTTGAGGGATCAAAATGTTGTGTCACTTTAGCTAGTGATGAGCTTACCTCGAGTCGATTCCCCAAATTAGCCATATTCGTTCCTCTATAAAACTCTTAATTGACTTTATTCGATACCTCTATGGCAGAATAATTGAATGGGGACACGACTTGGTGTGAGTATGGATGTTAGTTCCAATCGAAGTCCGAAGTTCAAGTAATACTCAAAATGAACTTTTAAATTAAAATGGAGACATAAAAGAGAGTTTCTTCATTTTTTTTTTTCGATAAATCAGTTTATTGAATGAAGCAAAAACATATTACAAAGAAAAGGGGCAAGCCCAAAGAACAGTTCCAAGGCCTGGAAAAGCCACAAAAGGCAACCCAAGCCCGCCCAAAATCAATCTGACTTATAAGAGAGGCTAGTAAATGTTTCATTTACCGGAAAAAAAAAAAAAAAAAAACAGGGAGAGTTTTTCTTTTTATATATTTTAGTTTAATAATTATTAAAAAAATAACAAACAAAAGAGAGACAGGATCTTTGAAGACAAAGGTTTGTTTTTTAATTACTTCAAACAAATTCTTGACTTCCTTGTTTGATACTTTACCATATATTTATTGTTATTTAAAGCCACCCTCTCATACAAATCTCTGGGTCATGTTTGAGAGATTTTTTGTCATGAAAAACTAACAATAATGAAAAAGTAAAAAATTTTAAGAGAAAAGTTCAATTAACATACCACTTATTGCGTAGAAAGCCCTTCGCGCGTCTCTTGTCATGAGTAATATTGCTGAAGTTTTAAGAGAAAAGTTCAATAAAATATATACATACATATATATATATGTATGTGTGTGTATATATATATATATAGGAAATTATGAAACTTTGACAAAGTAGGTAAGATTGTATCATAAATTGTAGCAGTTAAGTATTAGTTGAAATCACAGTTCAATTATATGGACATATGTCCAAAAAAATATATATATATATACACACACACACACACACACATACATACATACTAGGAAATTATGGAACTTAATTTGACAATAATCAAGGTAGTTGAGAACTTGAGAGAGAGAGAGAGAGAGAGAGAGAGAGAGGATTACATAAGAAGAACGTGGAGTCTGTCTGAGCACAGAGTTTAGCACAGCTATCATAAGCTTCATTCAAGAGAGACCCGTTATTGATCATACCATTGGGTCGAGCTGGTTTCACATCCAGACTTCTCTCTCCCCTAAACTCCTTCACCAGAGCTACTTGCTTCTGTATCACTCCATTCACTCTCTCCTCCGAAGATCTCCATGTCTTTGAATTGGCACAACACAATGCCCCCGACAACCCATTTCGTGTAGCAGAACACAACCTGGACCTCCTCTTTTCACCATGTCTAGCCATTAATGTATGCAGAGAGCTAACATTCACTTGGGGACAAACCACCGAAACAAGAACACAATACATCTTCTTTAACTAGTTTAGAGAGCGGGTATAGAGATTTCTCAACAGCAAATTATTTGAGTTTCTTACGTGTTTAAATTCTATATTTATAGAGTAAGATGCTGTAAAGTGCAAGTTTTTCCGTATCTGGGTTTGTCAAAATGGTGGTTGAATATAGTATATAATATTATATTTGTCACTACAATTTTACCTACATAGTCCATTGTCCATTATAATTATATTTCTTGTGGTAAGACTGTTCCCATGTGGACGCATGAAAGTAAAGTGCACGTTTTGTTGTGTCCCTACCGTGTTTCTCAAAATGGAAGTTGATATATATATATATATATATATATATATATATATATAGTGCCTTAAAAAATTCTATATTTGATAAATGTTGCTGTTGGCCTAAGGATTTAATCTAAAGGTCAATCTTATATTTTGATGATTACAAACCATTAATAATGTTTATGTACTAATATTTTCCTTGAGTGCTATATAGTTGATCAATTAATTCAATCCTCAATATTGAGCCAGAAGCATTCTAAGTACTCAAGCAATAGGATTCAAGGAAGCATTGAAGTTGCAAGAATTCAAAGATTATTCAAGTACTCCATTAAAGGCTAACCGATCATGGTCAAAGATTGAAGGAAAGGGTAGATTAGATGGTGAGAACTTAAGATTTAATGTCAAAGTTAATTTGAATATATTTGAAGCTCAAAATTCAATCCATGCATTGTATTTCCATTTTATTTCTCAAAGAAAATAAAATCAGCCCATGATCACATTCACAGGACTTAAAGAATTTCATATTAAGTATCAAAATGTGAGATGGAGAAGGCTCCATAAAATAAAGAGAAGGCTCTTTTCTCTTATTTAGTGAGCCCTGAGAAGGTTCTTCTCTTTAACTCCAGTAAGTCTTTGAGAAGTATTTAAGAAAAAGAGAGGGCTCAATCAAAAGAAAAAGAGGGCTCTTTTTGTTCCAAAACAAGCTACGAAAATGAATCTTCAAAATAAAGAGCAGGCTCACGTTTTCATTGAGCAGGCTCTTTCCAAGGAAAATGAACAAAGAGCAGGCTCTTTGGTTTTCAAGAGACGGCTCTCTTTAGGGTTTTGAACTGTAACGTAAACATTTTCATTAAATGTTCTCAACAACCTCTAACAGCTATATTGAACTCTGTTATTTCTATAAATACTGAGGTTGGTCTTTAAACTAGAATCACTTTTTTTTAACAGAGAACATTCTATCATTCCTTAAAAAGCATTAAAGAAGTTTTCTGAGCTTTCATTCCCTCTCTGTTATTTCATATCACTGTAGCAATTCTGAGCTTCACGTATATTCATCTTTTCTATAGTTGTGAGCTAAACTCTGTAATCTATCTTTGAGAGATTCTTGTACACTGTTTCTTCAAATTTCAAAGCTATTGTAAAGGGTTGGTATAACCCAAAAGAAAGCCTAGGGGAAGGGTGTTCTCCTAGCAAAGAAGAGAAGCAAGATCTTGTTTCAAAAGTGAAGGTTTGCTCTCCACCATTAAGGAGAAGCTCTAGTGAATTTGGGAAGTCTCAAGGGGGATCTTGAGCCGAGGAGTAGGAGTTTCCGAACCTCGCTAAATCACCGGTCATTGTTTGCAATCTCTTATCTCTATCTCTCTTAATTTTGTGCTTTATTTTGCTTGAATATTTCAATAAACTGATATTCAACAGTTTGATAGAAATATAATTTTTAAATTGAAAAATTGCTCCTTGACTCTATTCACACCCCCCCCCTCTAGAGTCAATTAGTGACTAACAATTGGTATCAGAGCCTAATCTCTAGAAATAGACTAATCATCTTAGAGAACGATCATGGCCAATACACTTTTCCATCAAGAAGGTCAATCTAATAATAGACCCCCTTGGTTTGATGGAAGTGACTACAACTATTGAAAAATCAAAATGAGAGCATTCTTAAGAGGCATAGATATAGATGTTTGGAAAGCCATAGAAAAAGGAGACCATGTTCCAACCAAGATAGTAGAAGGTGAAAATGTTCGAACACCCGATATTGAATGGACCCTCAATGACCGTAGGCTTGTACAATGTAATGTCAAGGCTATCACTAATCTCTATTGTGCCTTAAGCAAAGATGAATTCAATAGAATTTCGGATTGCGAAACGGCCAAAGAAATTTGGGATAAACTTGAAGTTACCTATATAGGCACTAGTCATGTTAAAGAATCCAAAATGAATATGCTTGTCTATAAATATGAACTTTTTACCATGAATAACAAAGAAACTATTAGTAATATGTACTCTCGTTTTACTAACATTGTTAATCCCTTGAAAGCTCTTGGAAGAAAATATACATCATCCGACAATGTAAGAAAGATCCTTAGATCTTTGCCAAAGAATTGGGAAGCTAAGAAGACCGCCATCCAAGAAGCCAAAGATCTTAACACACTTCCCATTGACGAACTTATTGGTTCATTAATGGCTTACGAGCTAGAAATGAATGATAGAGATGAAGAAACTCAAAAGAAGGATATAGCTCTACAAGCCACTACCAAAGAAGTTACAATTGATAAAGTTCCTCATGATGAAGAAGAAGAAGAAGTTGCTCTTATTACCAAAACCGTAAGAAGAATTCTTCAAATGAAGAAGTTCCAAAAGAGCAACCACTTCAAAAGAAATGAGTCGTCTAGTGAGCAAGGAAAAAGAGAAGCACCTACTTGCTTCCATTGTGGAAAACCGGGGCACTTCAAATCCGATTGCTATGCCTACAAAAATGAAAAGGAAAGGAAAAAGAAAGGCAAAGCCATGCAAGCTACATGGGAGGATGATGATTCAAATGGATCCGAAAGTGACGATGAACTAAATGAATTGGTTAATCTTTGTCTCATGGCCGATGAAGATGAGGTAAATTCTAATCAGAACTCATTTGATTTGGAAACTACATATGATGAATTGGTTGATGCACACAACTATTTGCTAGATGCTTTTAGAGAATTGCATGATGAATTAGGCAAAATGGTTCAAAAATGTGCTACTCTCAAGAGGGAAATGTATATCATCTCTTAAAACCTTGAAAAATATCAACTTGAAAATGAAGCTTTGAAAAAGGAAAAAGAATTAGCTAAAGAATCCGTTTCAATTGATTTAATTTCTGAAAATAAATCATTGAAAGTTATAATTGAAGATCAAATTGAAACTTTAGCTAAATTCACAAAAGGTAGAGAGAATTTGGGTCTCATACTTGGAAAGCAAAGAAATGCTTATGCCAAGGATGGACTTAGATTTGATCCTCACAACAAAGATTCTTGTTTATTGAAAAAGAGAATACCTTTGAACAATTACTTTGTTAAAAATTCCTCTTTTAGTCCACAATGTAACTACTGTAAAAAAAATAGGACATAAGATCAATCATTGTCCTATTAGGCCATGTAGGACAAAAGAAGTCTGGGTTATTAAAGGGACTTTTACACCTCTTCCTAACTCTCATGGACCCAAGAGAATGTGGGTACCAAAAGAAGATTATTCAAATTCCTTTTGTAGGTTTGCTTGAAGTCTCCATATTCATCTAAGGACAAATGGTTCCTTGATAGCGGATGCTCAAGGCATATGACGGGAGATCAATCAAAATTTCGCTCCATCAAACCTCATAAAGGAGGAAGCGTCACATTCGGCGATAACTCAAAAGGCAAGGTTATTGGCATTGGAACTATTGGTATCTCCTCCTCCTTATCTATTGATGATGTGTTACTTGTTAAAGGCTTAAAGCATAATCTGTTTAGTATTAGCCAATTATGTGATAAAGGATATGATGTTTTGTTTAAATCGGACAAGTGCATTGTCAAAAAGGATAATGTAGAAGTTTTCCATGCTTTAAGAAATGGTAATGTATATACTTTGCTTTTATGTGAATTACATGATCAAGATGTCAAATGTCTTGTATCCTCAAATGAAAATAGTTGGTTATGGCATAGAAGGTTGGGTCATGCTAGTATGGATTTGATTTCAAAACTATCTAAGAATGAATTGGTCAAAGGCCTCCCAAAGACTAATTTTTCTAAAGATAAAACATGTAGCGCATGCCAAATAGGCAAGCAAATCAAGTCATCATTTAAAAGGAAAAAGGATATAACTACTTCAAGACCACTTGAATTAATTCACATGGACTTATTCGGTCCGGAGAGAATTGCTAGTCTTGGTGGAAAACTCTATGCATTTGTTATTGTGGATGACTTCTCTAGATTCACTTGGGTATTTTTTCTTACACACAAGAATGAGGTTCATACAATCTTTGTTAAATTTTGTAAGAGAGTTGAAAATGAAAAAGAATGTAAAATTAAGTCCATTAGAAGTGATAGAGGTAGAGAGTTCGACAACCAAGATGTGGAAAGATTTTGTGATGACAATGGATACAATCATAATCTTTCAGCTCCTAGGACTCCTCAACAAAATGGAGTTGTTGAAAGAAAAAATAGGTCTCTCCAAGAAATGGCTAGGACTATGTTAAATGAACATAATTCTCCTAGATCTCTATGGGCCGAAGCCGTTAGCACCTCATGCTATGTTATAAATAGAGTTATTATTAGAAAACTCCTTAATAAGACTCCTTATGATCTTTGGAACAAAAGAAAGCCAAACATTGGGTACTTTAAAGTCTTTGGGTGTAAATGCTTCGTGTTAAATGACAAAGATAATCTAGGAAAATTTGAACCTAAATCAGATGAAGGTATTTTTCTAGGATATTATTCTCGTAGCAAAGCATTTAGAGTGTTTAACAAAAGAACACGTGTGGTTGTGGAATCAATACATGTTGTATTCGATGAATCACCATTACCCCCTCTCAGACGTTCATTGGATGATAATGAAGATGTGATTGAGATTGAAAAGAATATTGAAAATCTTGATTTAAATGGTTCTTCTCTTGAAGATAGCTCCAAAGATGTTCTAAAAGAAAGTCTCTCATAAAGACACTCTTCCTAAGGCTTGGAAGCAAGTGCCTAATCATCCGATAAATCAAATCATTGGCGATCCAT